CTGCAGAGGGGTCCCCTGAATCTCTGGTTGAGACTGATGCATGTGCCTGAGAGGAAGCTGCTGAAGCCAGGAAGAGAGCCACCTAAAAGCAGTGCCACAGACAATTCCTGGAGCTCACACAGGGCTGGGAAGAAAGACCTTGTAATAAAGAATCCAGAAAGGGACTCACACAAATATGGTCATCTGATTTTCAACAAAGATGCCAAGGCAATTCAAAAAATCAAGCCTGAACAATGGCCTAGCCTCATGTAGACAAATGAACCTCAGCCCTTACCTTATAGCAGGTACAGAAATTAAACTATAAATAGACCATAGTCTTAAATATATGAGCAAAAATTATAAAACTTCTAGAAGAAAACATAGCAGAAAAAAATCTTTGTGATCTTGGGTTAGGCAGAGATTTCTTAAATGACCTTTAAAGCATAATCCACAAAATGAAAAGATTAGTAAATTAGACTTTACCAAATTTAAAAATTTTGCTATTCAAAAGATACTGTTAAGAAAATAAAACAGCAAGCCAGAGACTGGGAGAACATAGTTGCAAAACATATATATCTAATAAATATTGTATCTAGAATATACAATATAAAGAAATTCTTACAAGGCTACAAAAAGAAGAAAACCCAATTCAAGAAAATGGACAGAAGATTTAAACAGTTCATCAAAGAAAATATATAAATGGCAAACATGCATAAAAAAATGTCCTACATCATTAATATTAGCAAAATGCAAATCAAAACCACAGCAAGATATCACTAAGCACTCATTACTATGCCCAAATTTTGAAGGACGGATGATAGTAAGTAGTGATGAGGACACAGAGCAGCTGAAACCATCATACATTGCTTGTAGGAATGCACATTGGAACAGCCACTTTGGAAAACAACGTGTCAGTTTCTTATAAAGTTAAATATATATTTACCATGTTCCAGTAATTTATTTCCTTTTTATTTACCCAAGAGAAAGGAAATGATATATCCACACAAAGATTTGTACTCAAGTGTTCATAACAGCTTTATTCATATATAATATAACATATTTATATATCTTGAATCTACCAAAATGTCCATCAACTGCTGAATGGATAAACAAATTTGTTATGTAGATTAATCTAAAAAAAAGCCAGATATAGAAGACTATTTACTGTAATATACTGTTTCTATGAAATTCTAGAAAAGTCAAAACTATAGTGAGAGAAAAGCAGATCATAGAATTGTAACTGAAAGCGATATTACCTATAAAAATCACCTCAATTTAAAAATCTAATAGACAACATTTTATAGAACAATAGCTTTCTCATACATGGGTGGTGGGATTATAATGTGGAGGCCAGTCTGGAGGCCAATTTGCATTTGGCATCAAAAATCTACAAATATCTGTCTGAACCACCAATTCTTCTTATGGGGTTTATCCGAAGGCTTTAATTAATAATCTATATTCAAGCAAGTTTATACAAGCAAAAAAATTTAATATTACCCAAAATGGCCCAAATGAAACATTGCTAAATAAATGATGATATCAATAAATCCATTAAATGGAATAGCATAGAGTGACATAAAACATTGTAAACATCTATAAACATTGATTGTAAGTTGATTATAAAGAAAATATCAATAAAATCCAAAGAATGGATATTTTAAGACCACATCCTTTGACCAAAATTGCAGAAAACTAGAAATAAATAACAAAAGTATAAATAATGCTATCATATAATTAGTTTACAAACTTTGTCATTAACAAAGACAAAACAAAAATTGCAATTTTAAGCTGTTAAATGCCATTTTAAAGACTATGTATAAAAACCTATGGGACCTGGCCAAAGCTATATTGAGAGGAAAATTCATGATTTTAAATAATTTTATCACTAATGCAAAAACAAAATAATTAAGAAAATAAAATATTTATTTCATAAAATTAGAAAATAGAAAACAAAATAAAGGACAGCAATAGAATAGCAGTAAAAACAAAACTTAATATTAGAAAAAATCCAGGAGAATGAAACAGATATAAAGGAAGCAGCAGAGAAGAAAATAGAAATCTCTAGTTCTAGTAACTTCCTGAATTCTCACTGTCGCCCCACCTTGGGTACTGTGAGATAACCCTGTATCCTTATAAGATGTGTCACTGTTCTGTTTTACACAGATTTAAGGTGCTTTTTACATGTAAATAGCCTTAATAACTTAGGAGTTGGGATACCAGATGCAGAAAATATAAAGAATATGAATGGAATATTTGATTACACAGATATTTTTAACTTGAGTCAGCAAAAAAACTGCACATATGTAAAAAAGCATAAATATGATGGAAATGCAAACAATAAAATGAACGTATAGAAATAAATATATATATATATACACGCACACATATGCAGAACTAACAAAGGCTTAATATCCTTACTGCACAAAAAAATCCTAAGTGGAAAAAAAGTCTATATAATAAATAAATCGACATTGTAAGCAGAAAACTTGTGCCAATAAAAATACACATTGGTAATAAGCATATTAAAATAAGTTAACCCTCAATGACTACAAAAAAAGTGACACCAACCAGCTAGTTTTTGCCTCTCAGCTTGTAAATGATTAAAATGCTCCGTGGGGCATGCCATGGACATTGAGGACTCTACTGCCAAGGGCCGTTGGTAGGAATCTAAATTGGGACAAACTTTCTGCTGATGTGCACATATCTGGTGACTCAACAATTCTCCTTCTAAGAATGTAACTCAAGGGAACACCTAGAAAGGTTAACAACATTGAACATATAAGGCGTAGCACCATGTTGTGGGTACAGCAGTGAAAAGCTGGAAACAACCCCAATGTCCACCCAAAAGGATTTGTATAAACAGTGTTTACTTTGTATAATGATAAAATAATTTATTGACATGAAAGGAGTGCCATGGCAAATTGTTCAGATTTTTAAAAGGCACAGAATAAAATAGAGCAGGTAGTAGGACTCAATTTTGATATAAATGTGTATATGGTGCTATGGCTTGAGTGGTTGTCCCCTCTAAAACTCATGTGGATGAGTTTCAATGTGGCAGTGTGGAGAGGCAGGGCCCATGAATGGATTAATCTACTCATGGGCTAATGACGGATCAATGGGCTACCTTGGGAGTGGGACTAGTGGTTTTATAAGAAGAGGGAGAGAGACCTGAGTTGGCATGGTCAGCCCACTCACCATCCCATGTCCTGCACTGCCTTGGGACTCTGCAGAGAGTCCCCACTAGAAAGAAGGCCCTTACCAGATGCCACCCCTTGACCTCGGACTTCCCAGCCTCCAAAACTGTAAGAAATAAATTCCTTTCCTTTTTAGATTACCCGGTCTCAGTTATTCAGTTGTAGCAACAGAAAATGGACTAAGACATATGGGCATAAAGATATGGGTATGAAAGACTTTGCTCAACTATGAACAAAATTATGTCTTCCAGGGTGAATTGTTTCTTATATTTACTTTCTTCTTCATTCTTTTCCAGTTCCATTTGAAAACTTTTTTGTAATGGGCATATATAATATTTGTGTCATGATACAAAATGATTTTCACTCTGGGGGAAAAGGACCAGAAGGAAAAACTACTCTGTCCCACCCCTTAAAATGTGGTCAAAATAAATAGACTGAAGTGGAAAAAATATCAGTACACAATACTGTACAATGTCGTGAGGATGTATAAAGTGTGCACGCTCATTGTGTTAAGGGCATGGTGGGTAAATTGGTACTTTTTCTAATGAGCACCTGAGCAATGCATAGCAACAGCTTCAGCAAAAGGTATTCACATACTTTGATTCACTTCCAGAAATCTAAGCAAGAAAATAATCAGAGATATGGACAAAAAATTGTGCATAAGAATGTTCATGCATATTCTTTTTCATCATAATTTAAAAATTGAAACAGCATGAACGTCCACAATAGTGGAGTACGTGTGTATGTATCTCTAATAACTCATCCAGCACGTGTTTACTAAGTGTCTCCTTTGTGCCAGGCTTTTTGGCAGCCCCTGGGATCCAGCTGTCCACCTCCGGGGGCACATCATTGCGTTACTCTAACAAGAAAGACAATTGGCTAACTCCACAAATAATTTAGGTGCTAGCCAAGAGAAATACAGGATGCCAATATGCATATACAGTATTACTTTATAATCAAAGAATAAGATAAAAAGAGGAATGCGAAACATGTTGTGAATGTCTGCTTATTATCTCGAGAAATGATCCGTTAGCCAAGTGGGGGAGTCTTTCTGAGGGCCAGAAATGACCATTTATAAACAATTAACCACTCAACAGAAGAGGATACAGGCATAAAGATCAAAAGCAAGATGGTCAAAACCACTTTCACCAGAGTACTAAAAATCAATGAAGATGAAACCTCTCAAGTTATAATTTAAATATTATACAAATATGATTTAATTTAAAAGAGAAAATGTTTAGTCGTAAGGAGGCATTAAAGATAAGGAGGTAGAAACTTTTCTCTTTCCCTCCACGGTACCTCTGGCAAAGGCTCACCCTCCTTAGGGCCCCCTTGGGAACAGTTGTGAAGGTCAAATCACCAACCAGGGAAGCTATTCTTGAAGGAGTTGGGGCTTTGTGTTGTTGACTGCTAGCATCAGCAACATTTTGGGGTACATATCCTCCGCTCCCTTCTTATTTAGGAATTCTAGTCCTGTCCTGACATGGTAGGCTAACCTTGCTTCCGTGGCACGCGACAAAGGATTATAAATTAATTATGTGATTGAAGAAGTCCTTGGGAAAACCATGCCTACCTCTTGTTCATGCCGGTTGGCTGTAACCATAGCAACCCCTCACTCTGGACCAAAGTTCAGCCACTGTAAAACTTTATGACCATGTTCACAGTTCAGTGTTCATGAGCATAACCCTTCCTTACGAAGAGCGAGGTGTTACATTTTACAACAAAGTATTAGACTCCATTTCTAAACACTGGACTCCAAATGATAAGGCCCCCAAATATTATAAGACCTTTGTGCTTTTGCCCTGGGGAACTGATTTTCCTGAGAAAATGCCTACAACAAAGAAAACATTGATGTTCTTGTCAAGCTTTTTCACAAGCCTGGGGGCTTTTGTCGTGATTTGCTCTGTTCTTGGGACACAAGCTTGGGTCACCAGCACGATTGCCTTCAGAGACTCTGTCTCGAAGGGTACCGTTTTCCTCACCTACGGACTTTTCCGTGGCAAGAGCACTCAAGAATTGAGTCATGGACTTCAAGAAGCTGACAAGTATTTTGCAGGTAAGTGATAAACTATTTTAGTTGATATAGTGAGATTTAATTAAGATTCACGTCATTCTGTGTTTGGGCCAAATAACCATTCAGAAATAATTTACTTGTGAGCTTTGAGTTAGGCTGTGGATATGAACCTACCTCATAACTCTGCAGACTCTGCATCATCATTTCAGCTTCCTCAGCCCTGGCTGACTGTTAGGACAACAGTCTAGCTCGGCTGTGTTTAAAGCGTACCTACCAAGTTTATTGACAAGTAAATAATTGAGTAAAAACATGTAGCAGCAATATGGTATTGAACAGCCAGTAGGAAAGGCGTTTTTAACTGTATAGACTGTGGCTTTTTAGTTGGAGCAACAACCTCTGTCCAGAATTTCATAAGTGGCGTCTATTCAGGGAAAACATGGTCCATTTCTTATTTCTATTTTTCACATTCATTTCTTTAGCTGACATGAATTTGCATTCTTGCCTCGAAAATATCCAAAATTGTTGTTGGAAATGACATTAAATTTCCATTAATTCTATTAATTGTATATTTTGTTACTTATTCCTAAACTTTTTTTCTGATTCCTTGTGTAGTAATGCCCTCCTCTCAATGGATGGGAAATGAAAAATTCATGGAGAACAATAAGTTGATTTAGCTACTTCTTTGACTTTTGAAGTTTGGTATCTACCATTATGTTTTCTAAATTTAAAACAACATTGTAAATTATGCAACACATTAAATGGACTTTGTTTTGAACAGTGTTGTATACAGGTATTATACAGGCATTATTAGGTATTATGTGGTGTTTACCTCTTGACTTACAAATACACATCATTTTCTACCTGTACAAATATAATATCTAGTCCTTGTGTAATGCACAAAGGTGGGAGTTTGTGGCTTACACACAAGCTCTAGGTTCCAGCTCTAGCTTGTTTATGACTTTGTTCAAGAAATGATTTCCTTACATCCAAAGCAACATGGTTATGTTCCCACGTTATAAATTTGTCTCCTGAATGTTAATGAAAGCAACGTCTCCCCTGACATTCCAGCGGCCTTTCCCGGCGACACTCCTCTGCCATCAGCCTCAGCTTCCCGAGAGGATGAGGGACATTTGTTTTACAGCAACTGGAAGCTATGACTTTCAAAGACTGGGTCATACTTTCAGTTAGCATTTTCAAAACCAAAAAGTGTACTAGTTTCTGAAACCCCAGACACATTTAAAAAAATGAACAGAGTAGACAAAACCTACAAGTTTTTTGGTTTTCATGTAGTGTCTGTCTGGAACCAGTAATTTGACATAAGTGGCTTCAAAGGAAGTCCTGGCTGCCTGTATCCAGCAGAGACCCAGCGGAGGCTGACGTGGGTCAGGGCCTGGCTTTGAAGCCCTCGGTACTAGGGAGCGGGGAGCATGGCGGTGTCAGGGGAGCAGAGGCAGAGTAGTCACGGAGACCTCGCAGGGGGCCAGGGCCAAGGAGGCACAGCAGCCCTGCAGAGCACAAGGAGGTGCAATACTGGCCTCCCCGCCGCCTGGCTCTCTGTTTTTATTCTTTGTTGCTGGGGAGCCACATTCTGACCTCCTCCAAGTCCCTGCGCAACCTCCTGGTGCTGAAAAAGGTGAGCCACTGCCCAGTTAACAAAAGTGCTGCATTATTGCTCTTGTTGGCATCTGAGGACTTCTCGGAGCCTAGGGGGTCTTTATTGCCCTTCACTGTAGTAATCGTTGAACTGGAAACACTTGCAAATGGTTCTCTTAGATAGGGAAAAGTCACGAACGTCTATCTGGTGGCGTTCAGCTACTAACCCCACAAACGCTTCCCTTGAGCCCAGAGCTGCAGTATTTACAGTGAGAAACGGATGCTCTCCCACTGGTTTCTCACGACCACACGGGGCTTATTTCAAACTAGAAACCAGTCTTTGGCAGTACAATAAAATCTGTTTAAGTGCCGCTTTCTTGCCCAGCGGTGGTGGACTGACTGCTCTAATCGAGAGGTTAACCATGCCAGCTTCTTGACCAGGATGAGGTCACACCGAAAATCCCCCAAGCGTAATAAATATTGCAAAACTCTGCTATATCTCTGCATGGCATCTATCATATCGTGCCAAATGCGACTGTAGATTTTGAAATGAAAGAGCAGAATGAGGTGCTGACGGCTGATTTCAAAGTGCCGGAATAATAACAATTCAGCCACCCTGTAGGTCAGTGGTGGGGAAGATGATCGGCCAGACCCAGCCAGGAAGTTCTCCAGTACGTAACTAGATTGCTTGGCAGCTCAGGCTGACGGTGTACGTCCTGGTTTGTCCAATGCCCAGATGAAAAGTGGCAGGTCCTGTATGTCCAGCCACAAGCAGATTGTCTTTGCTGCTCCCAAAGTTCCGGATATCTGAATTCTGTTCATAAAAACTTTCCAGAACAGCTGCTGTGTGAGAGAGGGGCTTGGATGCTGAAAGGAATTGCACCTGACTCCCAGCCGTGGCAGGCTCGCCAGCCAGCGCGAGAGAAAGACCTTCATCAGTTAAATTCGGGACAATGGTGTGTGCAAGCCCCCGCGAAAGCAAGGGTGGGGTGGGGACGCGTGCCCGCAAAGCCTCCGTGGAGGACGGAACCGCGAGGAACGAGTTGGTGGGGGGGACGCAAGCTCACCCTCGTGACAGTCCACCTCCTCCTTGATTTCGGGTCTTGGGTGCCGCATAAACAGGACTCTTACACGGAAGTCATTCCTGCAACTTGGTGTTTTGAGAATGCAGTCAAGGTCCAAGCAGCACAGTGTACAACATTTCCTACACCGGCCATAATGCAAATGAGTCACTCATGAGGAAGTGGCGTTCCTGTGAACGTCATTTCAAGAGTTACTCAGCCTGTGCGCTGACCGGAACATGTATTTTGATAGAATCATGTTGGCAGAAAAAGTTTTCACGAGAGCTATTTCTGTCCCCATGACAATTGCATTGCATGCAGCTGATGGCACAATCGCCTGGGATGCCGGTAGTGTCCCTGCGCTTGACCTTCTGGAGCAGTTGAATAAAAATCTCAGGGGATGAGGCCCTGACTTGTTTGTTTTTAAAAATCTTCCCGGGTGATTCTAATTCAGGGTTGACAACCGCCAGCTTCCGCCAAGGCCGGGCGCTACACTGGCCAATATGCATCACTGTATCGGGGATTGTTTTTAAGCCCCTTGGATGTGGCCTGCTTGAAGTTAAACTAACTTAGTGGAGAAAGCTCTGGACACAACCTTGCAAATGCACCGAGGCAGGCTGAGAACAAGCCTAGAACCCGCTGGCCTTGGAGGGCTGCATTTCTGCCAGCGATCCACGGCAACGAGCGGGAGTTTCTCCTCCATCTGGCTTCCCCTGCCGCTGGTCTCTTTTCTCTGACTCCCATGTGTTCTCAGGGAACTCAACATGGCACCATTAGCCCAAGCTAAAAATAATTAGGAAAATAAATCTGCTGCAGAAACGAATTCATAGCAAAGAGAAGAACAAGTGGAGTTTATTTCTCCAGAATCCATAAAGAGTTCCCACCCCATCCACAGAAGGATCGTTTCCTGGAGAGGATGATGTGTCATTTGCCCCCAGAAATGCGACCATGCTGGGAGGTGGAAAGCAGAGAGGGCAAAAAAGGTGCCCCCCCGAGCCCAGGCCACTCTTCTCCCCAAGAGCACCCTGGCAGCTTTCCAAGAGGCCAGGGCACCAGCCAGGGCTTCTGGGGGAGCTCCCGGCCATGCCTGGAGGACGGAGTGACATCGTGAGCTCCTCCAGTGCACTGCGGGCCACGAATTCAGGAGCTACACCTGCTCAGGCTCCCTGGTGACCAGGTGCTTGAGGAGGGAGTAGAGGCTGTTCCCACCCACCCACAAAGCCACCGGCTCTCCCTCAATGTCCGAGGACACAGAAAACCAGAACTCAAAGGGCAGATGGCCAGTGGGGAGCCGGGTGTCCGGATGACTCTCATTTTTGTACATTGTCCATCACCTGGCAGCACATTTCTGCCTCCCAGCTGCGGACGCCGTTGGCCGGGCCCTTGTCTCTGCGGCCACACATTGTTCTGGGCTCTTTCCTGAGGCTGCCAGGATCCAGGCAATTAGTTCCAATTGTGAGGCGGCTTTCCTGATTCAGATGCCTGCCCCCTAAAGGAAGAGAAAGAACGGAATGTATTTGCTAATTTTGTAGGCAGAGAGCAGCTGTCAGATGCTATGGGGCTTATTGTTATTTCATTCTTGCTAACTTTCACCGAATTTTCAGCTTTCATTGTCTGAGTTCTGAGCCAGGAGCTGGAGGGGAGATCCAGCTGTCATACCCATGTGGCACGGAATTCAGAAAGCTGAAAAATAATTTTAAAATGCAGCGGTTAAAATTAAGATAAATTGTCACCTTAATACATAGAAAAGTATGAGTCAACAGACTCCAAACTGACTCCCTTCGGAAAAATCACATGTATGAGATCTTACCAAAAGTCAAAAACAAAGCTAAACTCAATCCCACTTTCTAATTTACTCTGAAAAAGTAGAACGTTAACCATTTGCAAATGAGCATCCATTTATAGCTTTTAATAAGTGTGCAATGCAGAGAAATACTCCAAGCCACTTCGGGTGCCTTGGACACAGGACTTTTTTTTCCTCACACTGAAGCTTCTATTTTCTAGTTAAGTAACCAAATTATTTCTTATTGGTTACCAAACTTTGCTAAGGAGAGAGTCCATGTAGTCCCCAGAAAACTCCTGATGAGACCCCGGAGTTTCCCCTTTCGTGCCCAGGAGGCACGGAGTGCAAAGTGGCTCCTCCGCACGGTGACTAAGCGGGGAAACATCTGCAGCCTCCGACCTGTGCCTCTGAACAGGTGTGTCCTGCTCACCCTCATCGTTTCTTCCCACTCTCCTCCGATATCACATTCCACAAGTTTCAAAACAGGTGTGTGCTAAATCATAGCACCGTGAGCCTCCCAACCCCTGCATCTCCACGGTGAGCAGGGGAGAGGGGCAGGGACAGGGACAGTCCCAGCCCAGGTGGCCCCCACTCCACTCACCCAGAGGGCTGGCTCGTCCTATGCCACCCCTCCCCGCCCGGGCAGCAGGTGGTGGCTGGCACGACCCACGCCTATTAGAGCTCTTGCCCGGGATGCATAGCAACAGGGCCATGCTGGGAGTTTAACCACCACGTTCTATGGGTCATTAACAGAAATTGCAAAACAGTCCCCTCACCACTGAGTAGAAGTAGGCTGTCCTGTGCCAGCTGAACTTTGCTCCCAGTCCACAGTCCTGCTTGAGGAGCAGGTGTCCCCCAGCCAGGGTGGTGAGGTCACTGCTGCCTGCCTCAGAGCTGATCATTTCTCCCTCTGTTTGCTCCATTCTGCCACAGGTGTTTAAGGGACCTGTGGCCATGGCGAAGGACGTGAGGCAATGTCCACGTTTCCCTCTCCTGCCCTCTTCTCCCCCTTAGCCCTGTCTTTCCTGCGGTTTCCACTGCCCCTCTCAGCCCAGGCCCTTGCATTCCTCGTCACGGCTTCTGCTCTGGGCTCCTGCAGGAGGCCTGTGCCACTCAGGACGCTGCTCTCTCTGGACTCGGGTCTTCTCTCTCAGACCTCTGTGCCACCAGCGCCTGCGGATGTGTCTGAGGTGCCCAACTGCAGACCTGCCGGCCACATCTCTTTCCTGCCAGCTCTCTGTCCAGTAGGAGGAAACTCTTCTCCCTCCATGCAGCGCTGCTGATTAAAATAAAACGAGATGAACAAATAGAATTAAGATGTTCAAAAATGGAATGGGGACATACTCCGGTCCACAGGGACTGTCACATCTCCCCAGGAGTCCTGTGTCCACCCAGCCTGCATGCTTTGAGAAACAGAGTCGGGATAAAGTATGAGCAGGGTGCTGGGCTGGCGGGGGTGTTGGAATCCCTCCCAGCGAGAAACACTCCAGAGACGTGGGCTGGTAGTCACGCCATATCCTCCTCAAATACTTGGAAAGGCTGCCAGGCAGGAAAGGACCAAGTTGAATTTTGTGTTGTTCCAAAGCGGGAATTAGGGCCCCTGGGTACAGTTTGTAGAGATGCAGCCTGGGGCTCAGTACAATGGGGACTGTTTAAACAATGAAGGGGACGCAGGGAAGGAAAGGACACTTGAAAGCGCTGGCTGTCCCTGAGGAAGGGACTTGACGGCCCCTCCCGTGGGCGCTCACAGCACCCTGGGGTCTCCTGGCTCCCACGCCCTGTTCTCTGAGACACTGTGGTTCCAGAGGGAAGCCTGGAGCTGGGGGAGGGACGCCAGAGGAATGCCGAGGCAGCACCGCCCAGCCCAGGGACAAGACCCCCCCTGCTTCTCTGCCTTCTGTTCTTCACAGCCTCTCCGGGCAAGGACCTAAGCGTCTCCCTGGGCCCCTCCCTGGGGACCTGAGAAACAGCACCGGAAAGAAAGAGCCTTTCTCTCGTTCTTCCCCACTCCGCCATTCCCAGGATTTGCTGTTATATTACTGTGGACTCTGAAATCTTTCTCCCGGTCGCTGTCCCCTCACATCCTGCAACTTCGTGGAACATCTCTGTACACACTGTTTAACGTGCTGCTGCCTCCTGGGGCCTCACACGCCCTGCGGCCCTTGGTTCCCGGGTAGGTGCAGGCTGCGGGGTCTGGCCACCGTGCCGTCAACAGGGGAGCAGGTGTGGGGCCTGGCGGTGGGCAGAAGCTGGAGAACGGCAAAAACAGGAACCGAGGACGGACAGCCAGGGCACCTCTGTTTCATTTCACATGCGTGTGGTTTCATGTCTGGGGCTCCTCTGCCCTTAAGAAATATGCAAATTTTATAAGATGCTGTTAGAATTGGGAAGAACTTTCCCTGAAGAGATGTCGGAAGCTCACACAAGGGCCGAACTCCCAGCGCCTCCAGCCTCCAGCCCCGCGCTGGGTTCAGGGACGTGGCCGGTGGAAGCAGAGCTGACGGCGCGGTCTCCACGCCAGCCTTCGCCCTCGCCTGCCTACACCACGTTGGCCCTTTCTCTCCCGGCTCCCTCTGCCCAGGGCCACCCCCTGCTCACGGTTACCCCGCAAGCCACAGGGCTTATGGGCTCCTCACTGTGCCCAGGTTTCCAGGGTGACCCACCTCGTAAGGTGGAAGCAGCGTCAGTGCTCAGGGCAAAAGGGACATGAGCAGCGACGGAACCGTGGCCGGTGCAACCCCGCCGCGGGTATTAGGGAGGGCGCACTCTTCCCTGGGAGACTTTAAAACTGGGATGAATATCGAGTTATCCAACGTACTGTGCTCATGTTCATTCAACCACAGATTCAACAACGGGCCACGGTGCGGATGCGGGCCTTGCTCCTGCGCGACTCAGAGGTGTGTGACATCTCTAAGTGACGTGTGGCGACCACTAACTCAAGAACCTGAGAGGGTAGGTGGGCCAGGCGAGAGCTGGTATTTGCACTCACCAAACTTCGTTTCAGTTTTAGGGATATTGAATAATTCCTCCCCAAAAACTCTGCACTTGGTGGCCGTCCTGTTCCTGGCCCTCAGCTTGTTGGCCGCGCTGCTGAGCTCTGGGTTCACCTTCTACAACAGCGTCAGCAACCCCTACCAGACGTGCCTGGGCCCGGTGGGGGTGCACACCTGGAACGGGCTCTGCGGTGAGTGTCCCCGGAAGCCTCGGGCTCCACGGAGAACCACACCTGCCGGTCTCCCCCTCTCTGCCCCCTCCCACACGGGAACACATATAGTCCCATTCGCACGTGGAAACTATGAGAACCTGGCTCTTATGCTGGGGTCTGGGGCTTTTTTTGGGTCAATCTACAGCATTTATTAAGCATCTTTGGAAACAGAATTCTGTTTTAAACGCGCTGGTGAGGACGCTTATCACATAACCCAGCCTTTGCTTTTGAGAAACTAGTGTAAGGAATTCAACAAAATGTACACCAATCAACAAAAAATTCACTGGGCTCCTGCTTTGTGCTTAATTCCAAACTAGGCTCGATGTGGCATACGGAAGCACACACAGGCGCACACATATACCTGTGCACACATTGTGCTTTTTGCCTCCATGTAACAAGTATTAACTTGGGTTCCCAATAGGACACGTCTGCGTGTTTGTGCCGCAGAACCACAAATAATGTCATTGAAGAGAATCTGGGGCAGACACCGTTCTTGGGGGCTGCCTGTGAGCCCAGGGTGTTGCTTGGTTATTTCGTGTGTCTCCTGGGCCGGGTGCTGGGATGAGGGTGGAGCCCAGATGGGAAGTGGATCCCGCTTTGACTCACTGTGTTCTGGGCTCTCACTGAGTTTGTCCAGGGCTCTGCAGCCACCACATCTGCCCAGAGGCAGGGCCAGTGGGGCTCCTCTGCCCTCCCAGGCTGCCTTCAAGGGCTTGGCCCTGCGGGCAGCCAGGTTTCTCCTGAGCTCTCCCTCTCTCTGCCAAGGACGCCTGCCCACCTGGAGCTGGGGCTGGGGCTGGCTCAGCCCCAGGGGTGAGTGGGGGAGGCGTGCATTCGTGGAAGGAAAGCTGGCCCCGGTACCAGAGCAGAGGGCCAGATGTGGGGCTGGTGGAACCCAGAGACCGGGCATTGCTGTGTCCACAGCCTGCAGGCCCAGAGCCGGCCACCGTCTTCCAGGAGGCTGTAGCCTCCCCATCTCTTTTCTGCACAGCTGAGTGCAGGCTGGCTTTGCACATGGCAGGGGCCCGATGCCTGTTTGTAGAGGAAAACATGAAACACGGAGGTCAGACAGCCTTCCCCCAGCCCTGCCTACTTCTAGCGACAAAGAATTATTTGACAGGGAGAGAATTCCTGCCACATTCCTTTCCCGGCTCAGGGGCAAGTTCTAACACAGAGAGAGGCTATGAGGTGGGCAGAAAAACAATCGGAGAAGTTGTCGTGTTCTGACACGGGGGAGCCTTTGTGCAGCTTCGGCCTCTCCAAATGCCCCTCAGGGCCTCTTGGTCCTAATGCTGTGACAAGCCAGCCTTTGCCCTGAGTTGCCCTTTGAGGACTCCTGATCTTTGCAGGAGCTTTGAGCGTGGGGGACTTAGTGAAAACTGTTCCAGGAGGCCCAGCCTGTAGAAGGGCTTGTGTACAGAGATGCTGTTGACCGCAATGCATCCTCGCCTTGGGTCGTGGCGGCGGCAGGGCAGGTGAGGGCAGGGCAGGGCAGACAGACTCCTGGGAGTCCAGGAGCCAGAAGGGAGAGCCGCAAGCCCCACAGGGCAGGGCTGCAACAAATGCTCTGGGCTGGCAGACGCTGGGTGGGGAAGGAAGTGGGTTTCCCAGCTTGTTTCTGACATTCTGCTTTGAGGAAAAAAACAGCAGTGTCGCCTCCCAGGGTCTTGTGCCAGCTGAGCGCAGCCCACCATCTGTACCACGCTGGCGTGAACAGCCCTGGCCACAGCGGATGTAGCTGTGGACTGAGGGGAGGCTGAAACCAGAGGAAACGTTGCAGAGTGTCCGTCCTAAATACGTTCGTGCCTCCGCCAAGGAACCAGAGAGCAGACAGTGACGCAGCAGGTCACACGGCCCGACGGTCACAGGCCAGAACAGAGGCCAGTGCCCCGAAGCCTTCAGGAGCTCCTCATCTATCCCAGAGCTTCCTCCAGCCCCGGTAAACCCCCTATCCCTGAACGCTGGAGAGGCCGGGTGGTTAGAGGCTCTGGGCTCTCGCCCCTAAAAGGGACTCGCGTTAGCATTTCGCGTCTGCGTGCCGGCCCCTCCCGACTGGACTCAAAGCTCTGGGCAGCCCACTTTGGAGAAAGCATTTAATCCTGTATTCATCCTGCCCCTTTATGATTAAGCTTTTATAAGAAACTTCACAAGAGGAAAATGAAGGATAATTAAGGCCGCGAGGCGCCCAGAGAGCATCAGAGGGCCGGGGCTTTTGTACGTACAAATTATTAAGAAATAAAACGATGATGGTGAGGGCGAAGGTCTGTCATCAAGGACTGTTAACGTTCTCCTCACACAAAACCCCTCTAATTAGGGCCTTTTGAAGGACCGTTTAGACAGCTTCCCTGGGTGTGGGGTACAGCAGGATACATTTGATGCCAAAACGTCCATCGGGTCCTGGGTACGAGTCAGGGGATGAGGAGTTCCGAAGGAACTTCCACCAGGGGCTCCCCAGACGGCCACCCACGCGCCGTCAGACCCGCCGGGCGAGACTGCTCAGCTGCCTCCTCTCGAGTCTGATGGAGCTTTATGGAGCTATGATTCACATGCCGTCTATTGACCCACGAAAGCGTACAAGTCGGTGGTTTTTAGCACGTCCTCAGACATGTGTCAATTTCAGAATCTTTTCATCATCTCAGAAAGAAACCCCATGCCCTGGGCTATCACTCCTCCCAGCCCACTCCCAGCCCTAAGCACCCAGGAATCTGCTTTGTGCCCCCAGCTCTTCGCCTTTGGAAGATGAGGACAGAGGCCCCGAGAAGCTGCACGGCACGTCCACGTTCACACTTCTGGGGCCCTCAACCCTGCTCTCTCTGACTCCGGAGCTACATTCTTCTAACCGGACCAAAGTGGCTCTCCAAAGTCTGCAAACATTTAGAGAACTAAAGAATGTTCTCTACTGGAGGACGCTGTGAAGAATGAAAAACAAAGGATTAGAAAAATAAAGTAAATTCTCTTCTAAAATGAGTTTAGTAAGGAAATTTTCTCCTGGTTAAACGCTTTGCCCCATGGCATAGTGTGGAATGAAACTCAAGCTCCTGAGCTGGCATTTGTGGCTCTCCAGGGCTGTCCCATCTCCATGTCCAGTGCTGAGGACACTGGGGACCTTTCCCAGGCAGCCGAGCTCACCTCTTACAGTTCCGATACTGCCCGCTCACTGCCCACCTGGGTCTTTGTTGAAGCTGCTCCTTCCACCTGCGATGCTGCTTCCTGCCTCAGCCTCCCCAAGTCTTGTCCATCCGCCCAGACCTCCCCAGACATGCCCGTGGCCGCTCCCACTCACGCGCTAATTCACTCCGGCACCCAGCACACCTGCTGCGTACCCTACATACCCTATGTATAATAGCTACATACTGGGCTATTCGATAGACGAGTTGCACAGAAAGTACTTCTGAAATGATTTAGCTGGCAGGTTTGCTCTTGTTCATACACAGCCCTTCACAATCTTCAGCATTTCGTGCCTAGAAATCTGGTTTGTGTCTTGCATTTCTTTCACATTCTCCCTAAGGCTTAAAATAGTGTAAGTGCCAGTGTGGATATTCAGCGAATGCCCATAGAGTATGTGTCCCATAAAGAAAATGAGTGACATTAAAAGATGTATCACCATGTCATTGACGAAACTTCATTTTCTTTTCAGCATTATTCATTTTTGTGGCCATGATGCTGTTTGTGGGGAACACGCAGTCCAACCGTCTCTCGGAGGCGCTGTTCCAGACGCTTTATCCAGCGGTCACCAGTGAAGGGATGAGCCACAGTTACGGACACTCATTCTGGCTCATACTGCTCGTCATTCTCCTAAACATCGTCACTGTGGTCATCATCATTTTCTACCAGAGGGCCAGATACCAGCGGAAGCAGGAGCAGAGAAAGCCAATGGAGTACGCCCCGAGGGACGGAATGCTGTTCTGAGTTCCACCTCTCGCCACTGGGCGTGATGTCAGCTCTACTCCTGGAGCGGTAACTGGTCAGTTTACCCGGACAATCAGCGTGGTAAAGTGACACTCACTCGTGATAGCTTTTGTGTTTCACGACATTGTGTTCTTCATGGATTCTGTGCCCTTGAAGGGAGTTTCTCCCACAAGCTTGGGGAAAATGAGTGGGAAACACGGTCAGTCTCTGTAGTGTTCAGAGCAGTAGAATGATTATGAGTGCACGGACCCTCCTGACCTGGGCTCGCCTCTGAAATAATGAAGGTTTGTGCTTGCTCCTTTCCTTCGCGACGTCAAAGCACTCCAGCACCTGTGAGCCTTCTCCTCAGGAGGACGTGCATCTTTATTCCACGCTGTGAATGAAGACTCTCAGGTACAGACAGATCAGAGCTTGTCCTTCCAGCAGGACCAGGTGCTGCAGGCAGGAGGAGAGACTTCGGAGTAAACGGCTTGGCCCTCGGGACCTATAGTGGCTGACGTAACTCATGCCCAGTGGTGGCTGAACGTGCTGATATGAGGTCCTCAAACACATTTTTGAGGGTCCAAGGTGAGATTTTTGAAAGAGAGAGATTAGAAGTGAGAAGATCACAGAAAGATAAAAATTACAGCCCTGTGGTCTGTATGCCAAGAAGGCTAAATGTTATATTTTTTGGTTTAACAGGATTTTGGCGAATTCAGTCAAAATGGAAATGAAACATTGTAGCAAGTTCTAGCAACCAACCCTCTGCTTAGTCACTGCGGTGTAGACGTTGGTGTAGCTGGTCGGAGGGGAGGGCACCACCCACCAGCAGACTCCTGCTGAGCGGAGTCTGAGGGAGGCCGGGGTGAGAGGATGAGGGAGGCCGGGGTGAGAGCGCCACGCGGCCGGCACTCCCTCCCACGGCAGGGCCGGGGCAGACACGGAGCACAGGCGGGCGCAGCCCTTCGGGAGCAGCCGAGGTGGAAGCAGTTCCTGTCTTCATGAGAAGACAGTGGACAACCAGGAAAATTTTAAAAAAGGCACCAAAGTGAATTCAGTCCACTCTGCCAGTAGGATGTCTTCCCAGGAAATCACTTTGACAATCGTTCGAGCCTGGCTATTCCACAGGTCAGCCAGGTTGAACACTGATAGAGTTCTGAGTGTTCACCTTTCGTGTCTTGATGGAACCGTAGCCAAAAGGAGCAGAATTTCCTGGGTGTAAATTTGCAGAGCAGCAGCTCTTTGGACAGAGAATATATCATTTATGAAGTTCTCAGGGACTAACCGCCTTCTTACTTATTATTTTTTAACACGCTCTCTTAGAAATAATATTTTTTCATTCAAGAAATATGCACTGGGTCTGCGTGACGCGGCCAGCACAGTGCAGCTAACTGGGCTGTCTGCTCCCGTGGAGCTTACTGTCGGGCAGCCAGGACAGACATCCGAAACACAGTTACTAAATTCCACTTACAGCAGGTACTTAGTCACAAATCATGCTGATTCTTTGGAAGGTCAGTTCTCTACTACCTCCCACTCTAAAGACCTACTAATTCAAAGTTACTTTGAACAGGAACTCATTGTCAAACTCTGAACATACTTTAAGAAATCTGATCAACAGTGAAAGTTTTCTAAATTGTTTGAATCCATAATAGAAACAGCTATGTTCTTTACAGGTTTGAGTTTCATATCCGATTTTGATAATGTGGATAAGTAATAAAGAGAAAAAGATACAGGTGACAACCCACTCAGACAACTGCTAAGTAGACACTCACATGGCGCGTCAGTGCAAACGGCATCTTACAATGATTATTCATCACAGCGTTTGGGCAGAGCTTGGTTGCCTCAGGGGAAAAATTGTCTTAATCCTTATATCACAGATGACCTTTAAGGATCCATTTAAAACACAGGAGTCGAGAATGGCTCTCTTAATCCAGCTGGAGGTAAAAGCAATGAAACTAATGTACACAGGAATCCTGTTAAACGAGAATGAGACTTTGTACTGTTCACAGCACGGGTGGCATTGAAGGGTAAGGTACGGCCTCCTTGCCCGCCTACAAGATGGGTCTTTTAGTGACCATCCACGGCACAGTGAGGCGGACTAACATGTTTTTCAAAGAAAAAATTACTGTTGGATAGTAATTTGCTGTTTTAGAACTATTTAATAAGTGTGCATTCTCTTATATTTGATGTAACGGAGTCGCCTGGAACACTATTTTGAAGGAGCCTGAACTTTCTACAGAATTAGAATGTCTCAGGGGCCATGACATGACCCCTAATTAAACTCATCTTGTTATGATGAGCTGGGTTCATCCCTATGTGCAAAATAAATAAGTTATATAGGTTGTTGCGTTCTTCATATAGTCTCTAGTGATAACTTTAGAGAAAGCAATGCTTCACACTAAGGTCAAAGTGATTGGGCTTAGCCAACAAGCTGAGGTTTGGGAAGCACGTGGGAAGCAGGAGGTAACCTCCAGGGAAGCTTTGCTACCGTCATCGGAACTGTATTTGATCATCGCAACAAACCCTGTGGCTTAGGCAGGGCAAGGAGCATCATCTCCCTGGATAAGACACTTCACAGGGCCTCAAGAGCGATCGATCCTTCAGCCAGCCTCTCCTGGCCGTGCACGACCAGCCCTTCCTAGGCTGCACGAGGAGTCACAGGTCCACACATCAGTGGCCTCACACCTTCTGAGGCTACTCAGCCTCCCAGAGGCCTGGAAGCTGCAGATTCTGCAAAGGGTAGGGGGGTGCCCAGCAAAGTTCCAGACTGAACTCTCCCCGCCTGCCCCACACCTGCCCAGCGCGCCTCTTTCTCTTATGCCGGAACGAATCAGCGTAAACTTGAAACCAGGTTCCCAGTTGCCTAAGCTGTTGTCTTTCTACACCCTAGTCAGGCCCACAGGCATGGCGTTTGGGAGGCAGCATGGCTCAGAGTCAGGGGCCTTTCTGACACTGAAACTCCAGCTTGCAGAGAAGCTGGGGCTCCTTGGCCCCTGCACCCTTCTGGACTCTTCTGACCCAGGGGACTCGGGCAGATGAGGTCATTCGGCCAGTGGTGTGGAAGGCTGACCCCTCACAACTGAGGGTGTGTCTGCTCCCTAACCCTCAGCCCTGTCCCCTTCCCAGAAGCCCCCGCCTCCCAGGACGTGGACACACAGTGGAGGCTCCATGGCAGGCTCGTGGCAGGCTGCTCTGGCATCTCGCAGCTCTGAGAAACCAGCAGTCGCCGCCTCTCTCTGGGCTTGCCCTTCCTCATGAATAAGAAATAAACCATAAATAATAGAAACGGCAATCAGTGTAGGATTAAGCAGGGACGTTCCGGAGTCAGGCCGCCTGGGATCTGGTACTCATAACTCAGAGAAGTTACTTAATCTCAATAAGCCTCATCTGTGAGGCTTTAAGCATCTGTGAAATGGGGCAACAGTGGCAGGGCGAGTGCGCGGGGCTGCTGTGAGAGTGAACAAGGAGCTCCTGCCCCTGAGGACTGAGGGCCACCGTCCTCTTTCACAGAACTGTGAGGCTGAGACCAACGCCACCGCCTCAGCTACCTCGGGCCACATTAATGCTTTTGTCCTACAAACAAACAAGCAATAAACAAAGAGCGTAAGCCCAGAGGGGTTCGTGCACTTGCTGAGAGTCGGAAGCTGGTGAGTGGCAAAGCAGAACGAAAACCAGGTCTCAGGCCCTTTGCTCCTGGGTCTGATCCGTTCCACAAACCTTCCTGCATCAGGGGTGGGGAAAATGCGGGGCGGAGGCAGGAATCAAAGGAGCTCTGTCCCAGACCAGAGGCGTGGCGTTCCTGGTGTGCCACAGAGCAGCTAAAGCCTCCTCTCACCCCTTGGCGGATGTCATTGTGGGTCTTGCTCATTCAGAACGGAAACAGGCAGTTTGCTCAGGCAAAGCTTCCGATCTGTGTCCAATAAATCCGCAGGCGGCCTGGGTGCTACCCGAGCTGGGGACAGCTGGCTCTCCCTACACGGAGGAGGACTGTGTGGTCCTTCAACAAGAAAGCCGAGGCCCGGGTGCTCCTGGTGACCGGGGCGCTAGTTTACATCAAAGCCGTGCTGCAGAGGGAACTGAGACACGTGGGTTGTCTGTGCAGCTTCAGGTGGCCCCGAGGGTGCCGGAGACGCACGGCCACCCTTTGCCCGGCTGGCAGAGCCGCTGTTCTGTGATCGCTGTGTTCCTGCTGTGTGTTCTCCTGCAGCCCAAAGACTGAAAAATAACTACCGCATTGGCTAGGAATCCAGACAATGTCCTGGTTTAAAAGAAAAAAAGAATTTGTATTCATGACAGGCTTTAGATGGTGAAAGTTTTGTATCAAAATGTTTAAATGTTTAGTAAAAAAGAAAAGTTTAGGTAGATATGCATTGTGTTTTATGACTATTCATTTTAAACAAGCTACTTTAAAGAAGAGCATCCCCTCCTGCATCTCGGCTCCCCTCCTGCCAAGAGAGGGTAGACTTTTTGTTTTTAACCTTGACCCTTGGTGGAATGACCCACTCATCTGTCTACCTTGAAACACGTCACTTCTGTAAAGTGTTCTGTTCATACAAATCACTGTTCCTGTAGGGGAGCTTCTCCTCTTCTCCTTCAGTGCAGAGACACGGCGGAACACACCAAGGATCCTCCAAAACAGAGTGCGGATCCTGGTCCTCACGGCTCTGCCAGCGGCAGCGACCACGGCCACTAACGTTTGCTGTTTCCCACGTGCCAGGCCTCAGGTGTGCCCGCCATAAGTGCCGTTCATGTGAGACCACACTGAATCCTCACAAGAGTGTGTGTGCTTTACAATTAACCCCGTTTTGTAGATGAGCCACTGAGGCTTAGATGGGTTAAGTAGAGTGTCATCATCCCACAAGGGAGAGGCCTGGCTGGCCCAGGTTCCAACACAGACCCACCTGCCAATGTCTCCTGAGAGGCCCCTGGCTGGAGCCGATAACCCGGCAGTGGCACCATGCGTATGCATGAAAGGGCTGTAAAAAGTCTGAAGGGCACATCCAAGTACCAGCCCTTGGCCT